ATTAACAATAAATTGAATAAAAGAATTCGCAATTTTTTTTTATTAAACTTTTCAGAGCAATTCAATAGTTCAAAATTGTTGGTTTTTGGTGCAAGTTTTTAGCGCCATAAACGTATTTATTGAAGCAAATTTTCGGTTGCCCTAATAATGACCTAGACATAGTCAAACTCGCAAAAAATACATCGATTGTGCTGGATTGGGCATGTGGTTGGATGTTGATGCTGTGGTGCAAGGATTATACCACTCGGCACTTTCAGTGGTCAACGAATGCATAGTCAACCATGGGGACAAAGGGAGGAACAAGTGCACAAAGACCTGTCTACACATGAATTGAGTAACTGACAATTGGTGAAGTTTGTTTGGTCTCGATTAAAACCAACAAACGATTGTAGAGTTAGGTTAGAAAGACAATATGTGTTTGTTGCGGTCGTCTCTTTAAGCTTTCTATACATTTTGTATAGACGCTTGCAGAGTAAAATAATTGTGCCTATCGCCGGTGTTAAATATTTTTGGATATACTACTACTTTACATTTGCATATACTTGCTATATGTATTTTCATCAAGTTAATTTAATAATTTGTCAAAGAACTTTTTTCATGTAATACAATTTTTTCTTCATTCTTGTTACTGAATCTGAACTGAAATAAAGAATTATTTCACTGCTGTTAAATACTATTTGTAAGAGGTTATGGGCCTCCATCGCAGAATTCTTAAACTAAGATTTATTTAATTGCGAAATCTTGTATTAATTGCGAAATGGCTGATTTAAAGCTGGCGATTACTAAATTGAATCGTGACAATTATGAGCTGTGGAAATATAGAATGCAGCTAATTATGAAAAAGGAGAAGGTCTGGGATGTTGTTGAAGGTCCTGTTCCTACATCTCCAGATGCCTCCTGGATGCAGCGAGACACCGATGCTTCAATTCTTATTGGACTGGCGATTGATGACACGGAAATGTTCCGGATAAGCAGCTGTAAGAACGCAAAGGATGCCTGGCGTGTTTTGCGAGAATACCATGAGAAGGCAACATTAAGCAACAAGGTGAAGTTAATGCGTTCAATATGCGGTTTAAAGCTCCAAACTGGTGACGACGTTGAAAAGCACATCACTGAAATGAAGTTACGTTTTCACGTCTCCAATCTCTGGGAGAGACTATTGCGGAATCTTGGATAATTTCAATGCTCTTGAGCAGTTTACCGAGCACATATGACACACTGATCACGGCGCTGGAAGTTCGTGATGAAAAGGATCTAACAATGACTCTTGTTGAGAACAAGTTATTAGAGGAATCTGAAAAGCAAAATCAACGTTTTAAAAATGAAGAATCAATCCTGAAGATTTCTAAACATGCCAAGTCCAGCGGTAATGTAAAATCAACAGTATGCCATTATTGTAAGGGTATTGGGCATATTCGTAAAAATTGCTGGAAACTGAAGAACAGGCAACAAGGAAAGGAGAAGGCACATTTCGTTGATGATAAGTCTGCTGAGGAAAATTTTTGTTTTACCATTGATAGTAAGAATACAGGTTGGGTTGTAGATTCTGGTGCAACTTGTCACATATGCTGTGATAAAACAAATTTTTCAATGTTGAATGAATTTTGTGACGATAAGGTCACAACGGCGAATGGGCATGTGATAAAATCTTCTGGTAAAGGAGTATGCGTACTAAAACTGGAAAATCAAAACAAAAATTTGCTATCTGTGAAGTTGCTTTGTGAAAAAGGATTCAAGGTAACTTTCAATAACAGTATTTGTAGAATTTTTACAAAGGATAATCGTGAAATTGGAATGGCAAGATTAATCAACAATTTGTACCAATTGTGTTTGAAATCCCCTGAACAAACCATGCAAGTATCCTGTACGTCAACAAAATGCCAACATCATTGGCACAAACTTTTTGGGCACAGAGATATAAATTCGGTAAAAGAAATGCAAACTGGAAAGTTGGTAAGCGATTTTCAAATAGTTGATTGTGGCATTCGTCATTACTGTGATATTTGCTCAAAATGCAAATTTACTAAGAAGCCTTTCAATACAAAATCTAATAACAAAACGTCCGCTGTACTTGAACTAGTACACTCTGATATATGTGGTCCTATGCAAACTACATCACCAAGCGGAAATCGTTATTTTCTGACATTTATCGACGATTTTAGTCGTTATACTGTGGTTTATCTTCTAACAAAGAAGTCCGACTTATTTGAAAAGTTAAGAGCGTATGTTGCATTTGTAAAAAATAAATTTGGAAAAGCACCTAAAATTATACGTTCTGATAATGGTTGTGAATACAAATCTCATGATGTTAAAGATTACCTTGAGCGTAATGGTATATGTAATCAATTTACTGTACCCTATTGTCCTCAACAAAATGGTGTAGCAGAAAGGAAAAACCGATCTATAGTTGAGATTGCGCGCTGTTTGCTAGCGGAAGCAGGTTTAACCCACACTTTCTGGGCAGAAGCTGTAAACAGCAAATTTTTTACAAAATCGTTTAGTTTGCTCTGGTATTCCTTGTACCCCTTTTGAAAGATGGGAAGGGCGAAAACCAGATATAAGAAATTTTCATATTTTCGGTTCAAAAGCTTATATTTATATCCCTAAAGAGAAACGTCGCAAGCTTGATGATAAGGCTGAGGTTAAGACGTTTGTGGGTTATGATGAAAAATCAAATGGGTTACGTTTCGTCGATTTGAATACTAACAAAGGTACTATTAGCAGAGATTATAAGTTTGTATATCGCAAGAAGGTTGAAGAAAGGCGGATACATAAAAAACCATCAACTTTTGAAATAGATATGTATCTCAAGCGTACTAAGAACATTTTTGTTCCAGATAGTACTACACATGACGAAGATGAATCGTATAATCGTGATGAAGTAAATTCAAATGTTTCTGAAGGTTCTTTTTGTAGTGTAAATTCTGACAACGTTCCAAGCATCGAGATAGCACAAATAATGAAGCTGAAGATCAACAAATTTCGAATAAACAAATCATGGATGAGGGTATTGCTCCCCGAAGATCAGGCAGAAGTACTAAGGGTGTTCCACCTTTGCGATGTTATGATAATATGAAGCAATATCTTCAGACAATTCTTGTGAATGGATTTTAGCTATGGAGGAGGAGATGAATTCTTTACGGAAAACTCAAACCTCCGTCTAGTTGCACAAGGGCTCAGTCAAAAATACGGATGTGATTACGATGAGATATATGCACCTGTCGTTCGACAATCCACGTTTCGTATATTATTATCGATTGCTGGAGAAAAGAACATGCACGTAGTGCATATGGATGTAAAATGCGCTTTTCTTAATGGTCATATTAGCGAAACTATCTACATGAAACAACCACCGGGTTTTGTAGTCAGTGATAATAACATGGTTTGCAAATTAAAAAGAAGTCTTTATGGGTTAAAGCAAGCAGCAAATGCTTGGAATAAAGAACTTACCTATGCTTTAGAAAAAGAAAACTTTAAGCAAAGCAAAGCTTATTCTTGTTTATTCAGGAAAATCATCAACGGGGAAGGAATTATATATTTATTGGTATACGTTGATGATTTGGTAGTAGCTGCTTCTAAGGAGGAACACTTAAGCTATGTTGAAAAATTTTTAAATTCAAAATTTGAGATAAATAATTTGGGATCCATTAATTATTTTCTTGGAATAGAAGTTTTGAGAGAAGGGAAGCAATTTTTCTTACGTCAAAAGCAATTTATAGAAAAGATAACTGAAAAATTTGGATTAAAAGATTCTAAAATTTCTAAATATCCCCTTGAAATTTCATATGGAAAATCAGAATCGCAACCTTTAGTTAAAAATGAATTTTATAAAAGTTTAATTGGATCTTTGTTATACATATCAGTAAATANAAAGCAATTTTTCTTACCTCAAAAGCAATTTATTGAAAAGATAACTGAAAAATTTGGATTAAAAGATTCTAAAATTTCTAAATATCCCCTTGAAATTTCATATGGAAAATCAGAATCGCAACCTTTAGTTAATAATGAATTTTATCAAAGTTTAATTGGATCTTTGTTATACATATCAGTAAATACCCGGCCAGATATTTCAGCAAGTGTAGCAATTCTAGCAAGAAAAACAAGTATGCCTACAAATGAAGATCTGACGGAACTTAAACGCATTTTAAAATATTTAAAAGGAACACAAAACTTATATTTACAATTGAANTTGCAAATTAGGCAGAATGTCGTATAGATAGAAAATCAAACTGAGGATATTGTTTTAAACTAAATGGAGGTGTAGTAAGTTGGGCATGCAGAAAGCAAACGTGTGTTTCACTTTCAACAACTGAAGCTGAGTTTATTGCTTTATCAGAAGCTGCGAAAGAAGCAATTTGGATTCGGAAGATTTTGGCAGATATGAATTGTTTTCAAAGCTGTCCGACTAAGATATATGAAGACAATCAAAGTTTTTTGAGTCTGATTAAGGAGGAGCGTTTAAGCAACAGATCTAAACATATAGATACACGATTTCATTTTGTTAAGGATTACGCTGACAAACAGCTAATATCTTGTGTATATTGCCCATCAGAAGAAATGTTAGCCGACATGATGACTAAGCCACTATCAGCAAGACAATTGGAATATCTAAGAGATAAAACGGGCCACTATCAGCAAGAAAATTGGAATATCTAAGAGATAAAACGGGCGTCATATGCAAATGAGGAGGAGTGTTAAATATTTTTGGATACACTACTACTTTACATTTGCATATACTTGCTATATGTATTTTCATCAAGTTAATTTAATAATTTGTCAAAGAACTTTTTTCATGTAATACAATTTTTTCTTCATTCTTGTTACTGAATCTGAACTGAAATAAAGAATTATTTCACTGCTTAAATACTTTTTGTAAGAGCTGGTTTATTGACATCATTTAGAAACAGTGCAAAATATTATAGCGTTAGGCTATGTCGGAATCGTCTCTTCTGAAGGACAACTTTCGCGCTAATTTCTTGTTTAACAGTACACATACTTACGTTTTTGGGTAACCTGCATTTCATTTAGCTGATTATTTCGCTTCTCGGACAAATTAACATAGTGATTCTGCATCATCAGCCAAAATTGTTGTAAATCACGTATTTGCTGTTCCATGGATGATATGGCTTTCTCTAGCAATTTAATCTGTAGGCAACAAATCAGTGGTCTTAAGAATATCTCTTTTTTATATGAGCTATCACAGAAATACGAATTGATTGTTCCGCATTTTTCCAACTAGCTTCTCTACATTTACCTTCTTTCGCGTTGCATTTAATCCCTCGTCTTCGCCAATACCAGACAGATAGGCAACACGACTCGACAAACGATCGACCTTCTTTAGTTTCAAATCGATTTGTGTTTCCATGTTACGCGTCTCGGCCGAAATTAGTTCCGCGTTTTGTTCAGCTATATCCAAACGCTTTTGCAGTTCTTCTTGCTCCTGATTCAAACGAATCAATATACCCCGGTAACGTTCTATATCCAGCAGTATTTCCGAGAGTTGGCTTTGCACTATAGCCAAGTTTAATTCGGTGGCTCTGCGTGTTTCCTGTGCTTCGCGAAACAATTTCAAGCTATATTGACTGGCTTTATCCGTAATCAAACCTTCTTGCGCCAGCTTCAGCATATTCTCCTCCAGCTGATACTTTCTGGCATTCATTTTATCACATTTCAATTGTAATCTGCGTAATTCAGTTTCTAAATTAGTGCCTTCGCGATTAGCTTCGGTTAAATCTTTCTCATTTTGCTCCAACCAAAGCGGAAGTTCTTCGAGTTTCGTTTGTAGAGCAAGAAGCGTGTCGGATTGCTTTTGACCTGCAAGTGGTAAGCAATAAAAGGGTAGAGATATCTACTACGGAAGTAATAAAATAGCTCCTACTTACATTCGCGCTTAATATTACCACAATCGGCTAGAAGACGTGATTTAAAAACCTCTAATTTTTCATTTAGTTTTGCTTCCTTTGCTATTTGCTTTTTGATGCCCTCAATGCTTCTGGTGTTAAGTTTCATGGACTCTTGTTCTTTGCTGAAAGTTCAAAAACACATTTTTTGGAACACCAATGCACTCAGAGCTAAGCTTAACAGTACATCACCGCTTCGACGATTTCGTACTCACCCCATTGCTTGTTGCGCTTGATAGAGTATTTTATCGCGATGTTGTATGGCCACAATCACCTCGCTCCACGCCAGAGTCAAGCGTTTGTGCTCGGTTTGTAGCACCTCCAAGTCGGTGTTTGCATCATTAATGCTCATCTTCAGCGCATCGGTTATTTCACGCATATCTTGCACCTCACTGCGCATTATCTCGATCTGATGTTCCTTCTTCTTCACTTCCATATCCAGGTGGTAGAATAGCATGTCAGATTTTTTCTTATCCTCGCTTAGTTGCTTTTGCAGCTGGGTATCACGATTAACGATACGCTTGGCATTCTTCACTTCGTCCTCCAACTCATCGGCCCAATTGCGTATGTGTCCCTCTAAAGTGTTTAAGTTCTCCAATTCGACCATACGTTTATTATACTTCTGCTTTTGATTCTTATTCACTTGAAAACGTTCCTCGAACTCCTCTTTGAGTTTGGCAACGACACCCTCCATTTCAACACGCTTCTCCATATTTGTTTGTATCTCTTGTCCATATTCATCGAGCTGTTCGTTTTGTCGCTTAATGCCTTGCTGCAAGTCGTATAGCTTCGCTCCCTGCTCTTCGCGTGTCGCTTCTTTTAACTTGAGTTGATATTTGATTTCGGCAATCTCACTCTTCAACTGCTCCTTCGTGCGCAAAAGATACTCCTTCAAGTTTGCCTGGAACTTTGCCAAGAGCGGATGGTCCGGTGGCAAAAGCGCCAAGCGTATAGGCTCCGGCTCAGGCGGAGCTGGCGCCTCTGTTATAGCTGCAAATTCGCATTCGGAAAGCCCATCATGGCCGTGTTCTTTTACAGATTCCGACTTGGGTTCGGGAACGAAATCGTCGCCAAATGTCGGTTGCGTTTCCGGTGCGCTCTCATCGGAGGTTTGTTCGTTATTCATAGCGGCGTTGATTCAAAAAACCTCTTCAAAATAAAAATGTGAAATATACCGCTAGCTAAAACCGGTTCGGTTGGAAAGTCAAAAATTGAATAATACTTTTTGGTTTTTGATTTTCGGGGTCGACTGAAATTGAAACGTGTTGCTTTGGATATTTTGAGCTAAGTGTTATTCCCTTGTAAACATTACAGAGTGTGAAATTCTCGTTGCTATGTCAGCTATTGGATTTTTTTCTCAAACAAATTTTGAATGAGTATTATTTGTTGACATGTACATACATACAAACCATGATAAAAACATACAGATGTATGTACGCACATTAGACCGGTTCGGTTTCCATACGAAAAGTTTTTAATGGAAGCTGAAACAAATTTTTACAAGGAGCTGTGATGGTGGTGGTGTAGTTAGACGAAGGAATCATAAAAAAATGCAACATCCAACGCACTCGTTTCCAAAACGGCACAATGTAGAAATTACATGGGCGTTAGACGAAATTTTTAGAAATTGATTGAAGATGTAATAGGACTCATGCATAAAAAGTGAGTTCAAGCTCATACTAAATTTTTTTGCACTGATGGAGTGAGGTCAAGCTCATTTGTACTGAAATTCGAGTCCGAGCTTACACTCAGATGAGTGCTGGAACAATTAGTCCGGCGGCTTCATTCCAGCCGGTTTAAACGTAATCGAGACGACCTACTAATCATAATCGACGTAAAGCAAGACGAAGACAACCGATAGAGTAATAAATTTGAAATCAGAGCCGCCTATCATTCGATATATATAATAAGGCTGTTAAGCTCATTATTTTATGTATGAGGCCCAATGAAGCTTGAAAGTTTACTCTTAGAATAACAGTCCAGTATAATTAGTTAATAATTAGAAGTAGTAGTTAGTAGAAGTATGTAGTAGTTGTGTCAGCGGAAGAGGTGGTAGGCTCCTCCTCCTACTTTCCACGTAGGAACAACTGGTATGACGAAGACACCAGCAGTCGTATTATTAAATTGACAAATATGTACATGAACGATTCCCCTATCAACAACTACACCGTATGGCAATCAACGACTTTTTTCATTTTTTAGCTCTTATGAAGTGTAGGAGTGGTTTTATTCCTCCCATAAGAGAGTTACCCAGAAAGCTCTTTGCGACAGCTACAGAAGAAGTGCTCAAATATTTCTTCTTCTTCCTTACCTGTGCAACTTCTGAAATATTCATGGGAGAATGCTCCTAGTCTCGAAGCGTGGCTACCAAATAGTTAATAACCGATTACATAAGCCATAACCATCAAAATATCCTCTCTTGAATGGCTGAGCAGTTCCTCCGTTTTTTCTTATCAATTTGTTATCAATGTTACCAATCTTACTCCTGTGTTCATGCAGTAGAAGAGGTTAGCTCATCGGCTTGGAAATTTTCATCAATATTTCTATGTCCTGCTGTCCACGTGAAGTTGACCTTGAAGACCGTGCTAATATCATTGATTTGATGGCTGTCCGAGAAGATATTAATCGTAGTCTTCGTTACGGCATGTGTATTAAGGTACACAGCCACCTGTTCTTTTGCTAGATCTGCCTGATAAACCCTGCAGCGCCCCGGGATTCGGTTGAATATTTCCAGTCCTAATTCTACAGAAAAAACTCCGTAGCCAACCCTGTTCTTTAGCTTGGATTCATCCGTGTAAAAACGTGAAACGTGTTGCTTTGGATATTTTGAGCAGAGTGTTTGTAAACATTACATAGTGTGAAAGTTTCGTTTATATGCCGGCTGTTGGTGCACATTAGATCGGCTCGGTTTCCATACGTAAACAGTTTTTAATGGAAATTTTTGTAAAGGGCCTAAGGCTGGTATTGTCTTTTACGAAGTGAACGGTATGGCGACATTTGAGTATACTTAGGCAGTATAATGGTCTCGCGGGCGATAGATGCATTTGATAAGGAACACTTTTTTCTGGAGTTTTAACACTTAATTAATGGAAAATTCAATGCGTGTACAGAGTGCTTTAGTGAGACTTCAGATAGTCAACAAAAAGTTCTTGATTCGCAAGTTCATCTTGTGATTGGGTCTTGAGTTTGAGTCTGGGATCGATGCCGGATGAAGGAAGCATGTTGACGATTGTTTTTCTCGCGATGAGATTTATTCAATAATACAAAAAATACATATATATAAAATTACTCTGCAAAATGTGCTTGCTTTTCGATGTACACAGAAACCGAAACGTGTTACTTTAGAAATACCATGTAGTGTTTTTGTATATGATATAGAGAACAAAGGTGGCATCCGCTCTCAGTGAATGTGACAGAATCGCTGTTTGTATAACGTCATACTTGTGCCACTTGTTTACGTTTTTCTTGCAAAATTTCTTCTTCTGCACCAATGCGACGTCTCAAAAATTCTCTCTGATGGGCGCAATCTTGTATTCTATCATTTTTGTTTTTTATTGTAAAAACAATACACAGTGTGCTTTTCTGGTAGATACGAGAGCTCCGCTAATAAGAACGCATCGGAATTAAATAACATTCCAAACCTAGATTTGCCAGGTTTTGAAACGGAGAAAGGAGTACAATTTTTTTTTTTTAATTTTTTATGCAATTTATTGTTACAAATTACCATTAATTAGGTACAAATAAACAAAGATTTTTTATAAATCTTTTTCAAAGCAACAATAAATGTTAAAAATAAATAACTAAATGAGCTGGCTTTCAAATAAGGGCGGTCGTTAAAGAGATGGTGATCAAAGGGGGAGTGGGCGTGGCACCCAATTGTGATATTTGGCGATTTTTCTAAGGCATCCCTAGGGACCCATAGGGGGCCTATGTGGTCGGGGGTGCCACGCCCACTCCCCCTTCGCTCACCGCCTCTTCCATGACCGCCCTTATATGAAATTTTCCCCAACTAAATTCTACAAAAGAATTCCAAACTCTTTCTTTCTAACTTTGCTTACTAAGTAGTGTTTGCCACAATATGAATGGCAAAGTACAGGGCGTAAGATAATAACTGTCGCACAGATTTTTTGAAAAATAAAAGGGTCCTTTATAGATGTTGCGAAAAAGAGTATTTTTTTGTTAACTTTGTAAATACTTTACATTAATTTTATTAATTAGTTTTAAAATTTTAATCCTTATTTGCATTTGCCAGCTTTGGGAGATAAGTTCATGCGGCACGAACCTTTTTTATAGGAGTACTTTTTCTTAGACTTTGTATAAAAGAAAAGAGAAAAAAAGGGTTGATCGTATGAATGCCCTCCTAGTCACCGGTTCGGAGTCTTTTCGTTTGCTGCGTATGAGGCCTTATGTTGGACAAAAGACGGAGTATAAAGGACCCAAATGGGGGAAATCAGCCTATATTTACAGAAGATATGTAAAAAAGTATTTGACGAACCAATCCAAAAGTGCAAAAACGGTTCGAACCGCTGAACCGAACCGACCAAATTTTTCATCCGGTTCACGTCCCTGGCATAAACTTCAAACTGTAATTTCCTGTGTACTTTGTATGTATTCCATTAGCCAGAAATTAGCAGAACTTTTAAAAACTTAGCGATCTTGTGAGTTTACATTTCGCTTCACATTTTCTTAAGTTACATTTTTATTGCACTGATACAATTAGCTGTGCGAAGTTATGCGAAATATGCATAATTAGACCTTTACTTTTCCAACGTATATTGGAAATACATCCGAGATGGCTTGGAAAAAAAGAGAGAACATGAAATCCAGTTGATCCTTAAAGAGCATTATATGACCATCTCTCTCATTAAAATTTTAATTCGATAATGGGCTGGATTTCGAATTCACAACGAAGGGAAAATGCATTGGATACCGAAGGTTCAGTTTTGCTGGAGAATGGCCTAGCCCAGTTCTCGAATCGAATACTATCCATTTTCCCATTCGTTATCGAGGAAGACTCGAAAAAAAAAATTTGTTTTACAATTATTTTCGAAATGAAAGTTTAAGTTATTAAGGTATTGATTTGGAGTTTAAAATAATTTATTTTATTTTATTTATTTCCCCTTTTTTCACTAAAATCTTCCAAAGTATATACATAAATGCCTTCTTTTATAAAAACTTAAAATATTATTTTAAAACAAGTTTATTAATTTACATAGTTCCTACCTACAGACGACGATTTTATGCTTTAGCACTAAGTATTTGTGTATGCACAGTTATGTATGTCCAAGTGTGTTCTTTAAACATACATCCATACATATCACTCGTACATACATACATTTAGTCAGCTAAGTATTACGAACCATATAACATTAATCCTTATCATCAAAATGTTCTTTCACTGTCAAACGTTCATCCTCGAACACATAATATTTAAAATCATTATCATTTTCGGGATAGAATTCGGATGCCAGCTCTTCAATATCAGATTGACAAACAGCTTCATTGAATGCACCCAATGTCTGCAATATTCTCACCATAGTCGAACGTTTCTCGCGTACTTCCTGCCGCTCTCTTTCGTACTTATGCAGATAGGAGAGTGGCATATCCACAGCTATATGCACACTTGCGATGGCCAATGGATCTGCTGTTTGTAGTTCCACATTCAAGCTGGTATGCTTTGCCAAACCCAAAATCCACGCAACCACATAGAAGCAGGCTGCGTTCGCTGGGAATGCTCTTATTATGGTCGATGTGAATCCGCGGAAAAAGAAGCGTAAACCATCCTTTTGATAATTCTTTACCGCGCAGTTCCAGGCGCCCTTATACACTGGCGCTGAATGCATTCCGTCTGCCTGCAATAAAGTTTTGATCACATCTATGGGGTAGCACACGAGCCAGGAGGCAATTCCGGCCAAGCCGCCGGCAATAAGAGCATGCGCCACGTTTGGCTTTTCTCTCAACGACATTAACCACTCATAGCTGACGAAGTATGCGGAGAAACCTGTGAAGAAATTGTGGTGAAATTGTATTTTTTTATATTTGTGAATAGAAAATTATTACATGTTATTTATGTACATACCTGGTACATCCCTCAGCGCTGTCATACCCAATCCACGAAATGCTCCCTTAAACCCGTCTGTAGCTATTATATGCCTTATACATTTGAATGGACTTTGAAATTGTGGTGCTTTCGGATTCAGATGTTGAAGTTGCATACGCGTCTTAGCTAATTCCATTGGCGAACAGGCGATACTTTGTGCAAAGCCAGATACCGCACCGGCTAGTAAATGTGAATGTAATGTATTATGCTCCGGCATTTGACGTTGTACATTGCCATAAACACCGAAGACAATGGCATTTACAACACTAATGCCCATCAGTGGGCTGGACATGCCTCGATATAAACTACCCACACCATCGGTTCGAATTAAAGTGGATATGCAGTGCAATGTACCCCGGTATACCGGATTTTTAACATCTTGCATTTGTAAGTGAACCTTAACTGTGTCGAATGGATGACCGACTAAAACGCCTGCACATCCTAAAAAAGTTGAGAGAAGAATATTATTTATTAGAGCTTTATTGAAGATAGATGAAGAATATAGATGAAATGAAAGTTAAGTCATTAAGAATCGTCTAGTCCCTAGTGGAGTCCATAGCTCCAAAGTCTTTGGTTGGTCATGCCCAGGACCCAGCTATTGCTGAGAGCATCGTTTCCTTACTTTCCTCTAGCTTGCCGCTACGGCACCGGGGGTTGTACGGCCGCATGTTCGGCAATGGCCAATGCCCGTTATCAGTGTTGCCAGGTCTTCAACATGAGAAAACGTCCCTCTTGGTCTAAAAAATCGTAATTTCCTACCCAAAAACGTCTTTTTCAAATGAATGTACAAAAAAGTGTTCTTATTTAAACTTTTATTGTGTTAATTCCTAGAGCATCTAGATACATTTCTGCATCAAAAAGAAAATTTTGAAAAAAATGTCGCTTACGTTATTTTGGCGGTTAGGGCTCGATATTTACGTAAGGCATATTAAAATATCATTTCGACAGAGCACATTTAAAGCTCATTGTAAACTGTTTTGAGATCGTTAATATAAAAATCATTTTATACATACACTTGTGATCAGCTGATTAAGTCATCAACATTTTGGTCGATTTTGGCTGTTTCTCTTTCGTTTATTTAATGTTTATTGATTTTCCATAAAAGCCAAGGTAATTAACAAACAAAATATAAATCCGCAAAAATTGTGCAAAAATTATAAACAATCTGCAAATTTTCAGCTAGATTTTTAACTTTCTATTCGGGTTTTTTAGCCCATTAAATTTCAGGGCAACAATGTGTAAGTTTAAAGGGGCTAAATAATCGCGTTGTTTTTTACTAATTTTTTTTCTNGTAATTAACAAACAAAATATAAATCCGCAAAAATTGTGCAAAAATTATAAACAATCTGCAAATTTTCAGCTAGATTTTTAACTTTCTATTCGGGTTTTTTAGCCCATTAAATTTCAGGGCAACAATGTGTAAGTTTAAAGGGGCTAAATAATCGCGTTGTTTTTTACTAATTTTTTTTCTTGTAGAAATTTGGGTAGGGGATCGGTTGTCGAAAATGCTAAATTACATTCTGCTAAGAAGGAGCATAGCAATAGGTCCATTCAATATCAAAAAATTCTTACGAATTGTTACTAGTACTTGCAAGTTTTTACTGAAAATGCATTCAATTACCCAAACTATTTGCAAGAGGGAGCGAATTCGAGAGCGTAACAACCCGAGAGAGCTGCAAATTCTTGCAAGTAAAAATTTTACTAGCAGGAATTTGCAGAAGTCCAAAAGTAAGGTTACGTTTCAAACTCAAATGTAAACAAACTGTTTAAGAGGATGATTTGATGAAACATAATTAGTGAAATGAAAATATGGATAAAAAATTTAAAACTATTGTATATATTTTTACTTTTATGACTTATGAACTATTCCCAATTAAAAAGAAAATTGCGCGCCAAAACTTAACCGTCAGAAAGTGTCAAAATGGCTTAAGTTGCAAGTTTTTACTAGTTTTGCGTTCAAAAACTTTTTCTGAAAATTTTCTCTTGCTCTCAATTTTACTGTCTATTTTTCTTTTACGTTCTCGCTGCATGTACTTACTGGAAAAGTTATTGAATGGACCTAATATTTCAATCTTTTTTGCGTTCAGTACATTTTCAATAAAGTCTTAAAAAAGTCGCCTACTTTTTTCTGACGTTTTATGCTGCACAGCTTTTTGATGCTTTTGCGAGCGTGCCTGCTGCAATAGATCGGCTCTACCTGATTTGGCTTTTATGGTGCAATTCCATCATTACAGCAAGCCTCGTAACCTCAAGTGTTTACACAACCAGCATTTAAACAAAGGGTCCTTAGTCCTCGGATCCAAAAAAAAAACTTTGGAGGAAGCAGCTGCAGCAAAACACAAAGATTGTAAAGATTTATTAAGAAAATAATTCAAAATCAGTTCTACTTAAAAGATTTAGTAACAAAGAAAAATTACTGAGAGGTTAAAAAACGTAATTTTTTACACAAAAAACATCCAAACGTCAACAGGGTACGCCCACAGTTTTGTAGGTTTAAGGCGTTGATCCAACGCGTATCAGTCAACGTAAAAATTGCAAGTGCAGTTGCCTTTTGATTAGTTCGACTGGGCAGTTTTTTGTTTCTGCTTCATCAAGAGATGCACCGGCCTTAACCAATTCGTCAGTTCACTCATTTCCGTATGTGTTCCTACGGCCTGGAATCCAGATACAGAAAGATACAGCTCTTGACTCCACCGTCCAGCTTAATGTGCATTTGTGATCTCTGACTATTTTGAACATTGATACCGGTGAGTATAGATTTCAGTGGAATTCTCCTCGATTATCCTGCCTTTACTCCAATCACGTCTAGAAATAAACTTTAGCAGAAAGTTTTTCCTGAAATCCATCTAGGTAGTATAGACATAGTCTGATTGACATTGTATTGTTTTTCTAGTGCTGGTCAACTTCCTAACGCTCCGAACAGTGGGGCAAAAAAGATTGCTGTAGACAAATGAATTTTGAGAGCACAAATATGAACCAATTTCATGTAACTTTTTTTTTTAAATAAGCGATAATTAAATTTATCGTCGATTTATCCGTGGCGATTTTTTTTTAAAAGCTCTAGTTTTTTATTTATTTATGTTGAAAAATGAAAGAAACAAAATTTTTACGTTTGAATGCTTCCACTTTTTTGGAAAATATTTGAAATTACTTTAAAAAAAATATTCATAAATATTTTCCTATAGGATACATTTAATTACAAAATGTATTACTTTTCAAAGCCGTTTCTTTGGTTTTTTTTTCTGTTCGTAAATCTCGAGATCAGCTGTACCGATATCTTTGAAATTTTGGACATCGACTCCGGACTGTCCAAGGATGATAATAGATGAAAAGCAATTTCGATATATCAAGGGGGCGTGGCACCTCCCATACAAACTGAAGTTGTCACACAACATATCTCTTGAAGTATTCATCGTAGAGTGCTGCAACTTAGTACAGAGATATATAATATCTACGCCAAACTCATGGGAAAAAATTGGAGTTATTGAAAAAGGGGACGTGGCTCCTCCCGTACAAACTGAATTTCTCGCATGACATACACATTCCAATGTGAGAATTTTTTTTAAATAATTGCAGGCATTTGAAATTAATTTCAAGTATTTTCCAAAAAAGTGGAAGCATTCAAACGTAAAAATTTTGTTTCTTTCATTTTTCAACATAAATAAATAAAAAATTAGAGCTTTTCTAAAAAAAGCGGCACGGATAGATTGACGCGAAATTTAATTATATCTTATTAAAAAAAAAAAGAAATTTGAAGTCGGTTCATGTTTAAGCTCTCGAAATCCATTTGTTCACAGCAACCTTTTTTGCCCCACTGTGCACCGTAGGAATATCTTTTTGCATGTGTAAAAAGCTGTGTAGTCTATCTCGACGCTTGCCTTCCAGCTCAGTTTGGTATATAAAACGACATCTAAGTATTTCTACTCGGAGGACAATGTTAAAGTCGTTCAAGGAAGAGAAGGAAGCTTGCCGCTACATATGAGTACGCGGGCAAATAATACCGATTAGATAACCATTGAGTAACCTAACGAATAAATAATAAAAGAGCCCTGGTAATTTAAGGTCCCCAATCAACCAGTTCGGAGTTTTCGACATCTTTTTCTAATCATAAAAGCTGAAATAGCGGCAAGCCCCACTGAAAGAAATTATGTATACTCCGCTCGCTTGGTTTCTTCTCGTTCACGGGCTCTGTTGTTGGAACGTTCTAAATACTTCTCTAGCTACAACTCAGGGGTCAATCAGAGCGTAGTGTGCCTTGCATTATGGGTCTATCGTAGTCTCGTTGTGAAGTCTATCTTTTTATTTGCTTTTTCAACTCACCACCAAGACAACCCGCAACAAAATCAAAAGCCATCCTCGCTATCTGTGTTCGGTTTACAGGAACTATATGTTGTACACCCTCGGAAGGAGCCTGAAAAGAAGTAAATGTTGTATAAAGGATATTTTTTTAATACTATCGAAACAAATATGTATGAATATTATGGATGAACATCAGGGCGGGTCATTTCTACCAGAAACCATTTTAAATGTTGCGGCCTCTGGTGGAAGTTTTAAGAAAAATATAAGTGCAGAAATGGATTCCCCATACTACAAAATCGAAAAAATCACCCAAACAAACTGATTGTGTATAATACTTTACTTTTAAAATCTGCACTAGACAAACAAAGTTAGTCTCATTAGAAGAGAGGATAATACCAGTATATGAACAAATACAGGTGAAGAAAGTCTATTAAGAAAACGTGATCAGTATTAACTTCCCTCGCGGCGATCAGAGGCCAACGATATGAACCAAAATGGGCACTCATAGGAGTTGCTGGACTCCATGGTAGATAAAAAAATAAAATTATAAATAATAAATAAATAATTTTTCACCCTATAAATCACTTGGCCCTATAATAAATGTAAAAGGATATTCAGTAGAAATTCGAGACTTAAGTCAAAAGTGGGTATTTGAATTTATACAGCCATTATGAGACCAGCGCTGGACAAGAAATACTACACCAGAAAACTAAACAGCGTTCAGCGAGCAGCTTATACAGGTGCTAAAGGAGCAATTAAGTCACGTCCTACCGATGCGCTTAATGTGAATCTGCATCAACTGCCCTTAGAATTCTGTTGGAGGTCGAGGCAGTATAGGCATAATTATATTCTTGACAATGTCTCTAAATCTTATTGAAATGCTTCATTATTAACATAAGTAGATTGGTCAATAAGTCCAAGTGAATTTAAGAGACCGACGAATCTGAAGTAATAGACATATCGTATCAAGATGGCATAAATTGGCTTCGGGATCATTGCCAAGTATGAGTGAGTTCTTGTACACTAATAGAGAATCGTTGGAAATTGAGGAATTAGACAATCAACAAGCCAGTAGATATGTCTTCGTATTATATTATTGCATTGACCCCTCGGAAACAAAAGTTCGACTGAAACGGATGCAGTATAAGAAGACATTTGGCCAACTTGTTACGTATTTAAAACATACGTACATACATATCGCCGTTTAAAGTACAAAACCGCGTATAAACAAAATGCAAAACCGCGTATGTGAAGTTGCATAGGGGGCAGGGTTGCCACTTTGGTAAATTGTTACCAAAATTGGTAGAAAAAATTTGGGTTGGTAAAAAGGTAAATTTTTTCTCATTTTGGTAGATATTTGTTGAACTTTTCGTTACCGATTTATTTTTCGTAGTTATCTTTATATTATAAATTTCTTTGCATACTTTTTATATACTTACATACGTATAAATGTATATCGATATAAGGCGAACATATCGTGCTCCATTCAAAACTCATTTTACTGGAATCCCGGGGAGCTTTTGATTGCCTAAATATTTTAANAGGGGGTTTCTTTTTTATAAAGCAATCGCATTTCTGGCTAGTATACTTCAAGACGATTGGATAAGGGTTGAGCCAGGACCTTGTGTGAGTTTTGTACTTTAAACGACGATATACATACATATATCTACGTCGCACTATGGGACTACAGCGGCCAAAAGTAGTTAAAACGGATTAGCGAATTCTGAAAAAGTAATTACGCAGATGCATAGCAAAATATCCAGCTAACTCAAACCAAAAATAATTTTTGATAAAAATTTGCAATCATGACACGAGCTTAAAGTAGTAGCAATGCGAAAAAATAAATTTGTAAGAAACAATTTTGATTTTGTCGCAAGTAATTTGAATTACTTTTTCCACTTGTGCAGATATGTATATAAAAACCAATCTGATTAATGAGCAGTTTTTGAATATATCTGGGGTCAAACATTGCTTAACATTTTTATAAATCTTTTGAAATGTATAAAACAGTTTACCTTGAAATTCTACATAATTTTGTGAGTGTAAAATTTTTTGAGTGCTTACTTTAAAAAGGGATATTTAAAAAGGACCTAGGAAGCGAGCTAAATTATGCTTTGGATAAGTAAACATTAAATATGCGTGTCATATCTCATATAGTTCCAGCTGCGAGGAACTGCCAGTTCAACTTCTATTCTTCCTTTTATAGACCCACCTCCTGTAAAATTTATTGAATTTGTATTGTAGAGCTGAAAGGAAAGACTCTGATATGTACATAAAATGAATAATATGCGATATAAAGTGGAAATGAAAGAATGACTCGCCAATCTATTAATCACAAACAACATTCAGCCCCTCTGGACTAGATCCGTTTTCGATGGCAAGAGTCCTGCTTGCCTCAGCTCAGCTTTTTTTGTATAAAATGTAGTTAACATTGAAAGTTTCAGTGTAAATACATATCGTGCACATAATTTAGTATGCAGGTATTGTAATGTTTTCGTTTTGTCATTTTTAAAATGAAGAAATAGGAACTCCTTTAGAAATAAAATAAATGTGCCTGTTCATTTTCTCCAAAATTCATAAAATTTAGTAATTGGAGGCAAAAAGGTTGTGTAGGAGGTGGGCGCCGTAATAAGAAATACTTTATTATCTGCCAAGTTGGAAAATTTTGGCTTAGCCGACCAGGGCAAACCGAATTTCATCAGAAAGATTTTTTTTTTTAATTTGCGCCTGATTTTCTAGAATTACTGGACGATAATGTAAACCGATTTTGACGATCTTTGAGATTCAAGCTTTTCTCGTTAAAACCAGCATATGCCCTGAATTTTATCAAAATCGGATAACATTTACTATTTCCGCCCACAAGAGCTGTGGGCGTGGTAGTGCGTTGAATTTTATTATTTTCCACATTTCTTCATTCCTAAGTGCCGAACAACGCATATACGAAATTTCAGCGAATTTCTAGTACGGTTTCTACTTTCGGCGGCAGCTTATATGGGGACGTCCCACTGTGCGTCGCGGCGTACAACGGAACATGAGCGAAAAAAATTATATTTGTGATGGTTTTACAAGATTTGCAAAACATTCGTATCATTTGATGCGAATGCGAATGTGTAAAATGATGCTAATCATTCCCATAACGAATGCGAAGGCAAATATTCGCAACATCCCTGGTATGTACATATATACGTATATATAAAAAAATTAAAACAAATATGTCTGTATGCATATGTCTGTTTTTTTTTTTTTAATATATACGGGCTATGTAAGTAGACAAATTTTTGCGTAAAATGGTCTTGCTAGGTGGCGCCAAGGTCGAGATATTTTGAAAACCCGTATTTATGGTCCGATTTGTTTCGAATTTGGCGTATGCAGTTGAAACATAATAAATCGTAAATTTCCTAAAAATTTACTCTGAATTGGCGCTGAAGTTATTCGCCCTAAAATGCATGTTTTATTTGCGTTAAAAATTCATTTAAAAGAAATATTAACAAAAATATAACGATGGAAATTTATGTCATGTGACGCCACGTCACGTAACGTTTCACACTTGGGGTTGTAAAAGCAACATGTAAACCAGTTGCATTAATTCAAAAAAACTCTAAAAAAAACTAGAATTACTCCAAACCAGAGATAGGCACGGGCCGAATCAATATTTTACATCAAATTTTATTATTATTATTATATTTTTATAATATATTTTCTGGGAAGTAGAAAAAGTGGAAGGTATTTTATGTACAGATATGTATGTAAACAAAACTACTAAGTATCATATATTTTCTATCGGTTTCCAAATATTTCTTTTTTTGCTTTTCTCTTATCAAAAGATTTTTAAATATGTACTATTATGTTTTGTATAAAAACAAAAGCTCATCTAAATTTTTAGTATTAGCAACGGGCCTTTTCGTGCCTTTTCGTGCTTTTATGAAATTTTACTGAACGCCCAGGACCGCACGAGTTCGTGCTGACAGCAAATATTCCGGCCCGTGCCCATCTCTACTCCAAACCATATTAAAACAAGTTTTATGGAAAGCCCACAATTCACAGAGTTTTGCGATTTTGTAAGAAAAGCAAAAATCAGCTTTTTTGTCTTGTAACGACACTCTCTTTAATTGTTTATATTTAAGGACCATGCGGTTCGATTGTTTACGTTTTTCAGCTAAATATAGAGCTAATTATGCGCTATGAAAGGGTACGTAAAACGTAAAAGAAAACAAATGTGTTTCATTGTTTGTATCTCATTGAAGCGTACGACTGGCAAGTATGAGACGTATGGAAATACCCATATGTCATGTTATTTAATATGCCACTATATTAAACTCAAAAAAAGGTGTCGTCAGGGCGGGCTCCGTGAATTATGGGCGCGGGTATTAAGACCACGATCCAAAAATGAAATTGGGCCGAACGGGCATAATTCATTTTGATTAGGGAAATTACGCCGCGATGAAAAAATGAAACTAGGCCACGGGGGCATAAGCAAAAAAACCCAAAAAAAAAATTTTATAAATAAACTTTTCCAAAAGAAATGCACAATTAATGCTAATGAAATTTATATTATTTAGAAAGTACAAGTTATTACCTTTAATTTGATATACATATAGAGAACACCTTTCTGCGTAGGCGGCCATCGGCCGCGCTCAGTGATTATAACCCTCACTAAGTAGAATTCTCCTTTCTGTGTTGCCGAAGAATAACACCTTTCTTTATTTTGTGGTTTGATTTGTCGACCAAATGGAAAATAAAATTTATTTGTGATTTTATGCGGATAATTCAATTGTGCCAATCAAAAACGATCAAAAAATAAAATTAGGCCGCGCGGGCATAATTCATTTGGCAGGTGACATTAGGCCGCGATGAAAAAAAGAAATTAGGCCGCGCGGAAATAATTCATTTTGGCAAGTGAAGTTAGGCCGCAATCAAAAAATGAAAATAGGCAGCCAAACAAATAAGAAGGCGGCCTTAATTCCCGCGGTCAAAATTCCATCCCCCTTCAGGATGGTGCTATTTAGCCATTAACATGAAACTCTCGAGTATATATTTTTCCTCATTAATCATCTAATCTAAATGATAGATTTCGTTGTTACTTTGAAATATTTTTCGTTGTTGCATTGAAAC